GCAGACACATGGACCTGGCATGAGTTTTAAGCCACCGAGTCTGGGACTTGAACTGCAGTCGACTATGTGGGAGTCCAGTGACATAACCATTACGCCATCTGCTTTTCCCATAAATTGACCTACTTTTGACATCTATTTTAATCTGCAGATTCCTTCTCCATTTTTTTCCCTCTTTGTTACAATTTACCTGCAAAAGAACTTGGGAGACGTGGGAGCATGTGACCTACAGCGTGTCTAGAGTGTAGATTCTGCCAATCGTTTATTTATGAGCCCTTTCAGCACTTCATTCTTTTCTTTCTGTTCCCTGCAAATTGGTGGATGATTCCAGGGACCTGATCAGATTTAGGGTTGAGGATCTGGCAAGACTGTGAATGGCGTTGAGTTTTTTCATCAAGAGGCACATGAGAGCTGATTGTCTCTCTTTCTGTGATGTTAGCAGCTCTTGATGCTCAATGCCTAGATTCATGAAGTCATTGGAGATTGCAAATTGTTTTATTCTATCATTTTTTTCATTGATTAATTGAAATAATTTTGGAACAAGCAATTGTCCTCACTTATTGTTTGGTTCTTTTAGGAAAGGCATCTTTCTTTTATATATCAATTTTTCAATTAAGAATTGGTTTCCTATCATTCTTCAAAGGTAACCAAGTAGGTTTTTAGGGAATATTATAAACTCATGGATTTGAACATATTTGAAGAGTCTTCATCAATTGCTTTCCTTTTGAAGATAAATAGGAGCCTCATCAAATCTGCTCCGAGTCCTTATGTCCTGACTGTGTTCATTCCTTGCAACTCCCTTGTTATTTAGTATGGCAAGATATTTTGGGTGCATTTTGCACACTTTCTATATTGAGCCAATTCCTCCCAAAAGACTATATTCTTTTCATGTGAATGCTTTGTCAAGATTGTCAGGGTCTCTGTGTTTTGGCGATGTTGTGTTGAACCTATAATTATTTTTATACCTCTATCAATATATATTTTCAAAAAATACATATGTTGGATTTCTATGAATACTTCCAGTTCATATTGGGATTACAGGGGTTTGTACTCACTGTCCTGTATTCTACATGTTTACTCTTTTCCTTCATTGAGTTCTTGGTTTATGAAGACAGGAAACAATATGAGATCAGGACATCCCGTTACTCACTCTGTCCACCATCGTGCTCCTATCCTGCAAATGGCAATATTAAAAACTATGCCGGGACCAGCAGTTGGCATAATGGCAGTGTCGCTGGACTCCCATGTAGTCGACCATGGTTCGGGTCCCAGACCAGGTAGCTTGAACTCATGCAGGGCACACCCAACATCCTGAGAGGAGAATGGAGGAGAAGAGATTGCAGTGTGGCTATCCCCCTGAGGGTGATTTCTCACTTTCTGTCTCTCTGTCTGTCTTTCTGGTGAGTGCACATGCCCTATAGCGAAAATCTCTACACAAAACCAAAAAACAGCTATACCACTAGTGTAATTAGCCAAGAACTCAAGCCTTTGTTGCACCACCTATACTCTCTTCTCCTGCTCTGTGTTGATTAGTGCATGGGTTTGGGTTTACGGCAGACTCACACCCTGGATCTCTCCTAGTTCCCCATACCAGAGTACATTGGTCCTGGGCCATCGCCTGGCCTCAGCCTGGAGGCTGCTGGCACAGAGCAGGTTACACAGTGGAGGGGAAAAAAGGAAATAAAAATAGCGATGCTGTATTCACACCACTGGAGCATGTACCTGTTATGTACTGTACTTTCTCCCTTCTAATTCTATGAACCTAGTACCTTAGTTAAATTACATGCACATATATGTATAATTTATGTGTCTATCACTTATAATTATTGGACCCGAATTTCCACCCCTCTTACATGGAGGATGGAATCTGTTCAGTCTACCTATTATGACATACAAGGATAAAAGAATGCAAGATATAAAAACAAGCTCAGAATTTGGAAAGTACTATTAAGTATGAATGTGTATGTACTATATATATATATATACACACACACATATATATATATGCATATGTATACATATATATGTGTGTGTATATATATATATATATACACACACACCCAAAGGAGTATATATTATATATATGCATATATATGTATACACACACAAGAGTATATATTATATATATGCATACATGTGAGTGCACGTGTGTGTTTCCTAGTAAACACATTAAGAACTGCTCCTCGGAAGTTGTACATTTAGGGCTTGTACATCTATGTACAACTTTTGGGGCGAATTTTGCTACATTGTTTTATTACGATATAACTGACATAGTAAATTGCACATGTTTAAAGTATTAAAAAAACTTTAAAAAGGACAGTTCCTGAAACATGAAAACAAGATTCTCTTAGTTTTGGGGGTCATCAGGTGGCATAGTGGTTAAGGTGCTGGACTCCCACATGGCCGACTGCAGCTGGAGTCCCGAACCTGGTGGCTTGAAAGTCCTGCCAGGTACATGTGCATGCATGCCCGAAATCCCAAGAAGAGAAGGAAAGAGAAGGGACAGTGGCATGATCATACCCCTGGGGGGTGATTTCTCACTTTCTCTGTCTCTGTCTTTACAGTCAGCACACACGTCCAAAACCTCTCTTTAAAAAAAAAAAGGGGGGGGGATCTGGTCTTAATCTAACTTTTTCTTACAAATAAATCATTTCCATAGAGGCTCATCTATTTTTTAAAGAAATCCGTTGTAATCTGGACAGGATCTGGCTATGCCACAGTCACCTTTCTCCAGATCTCCAGCGTGTAAGGACTCCGGGCATGGACGCATGCGCCTTGCGTGTTTCAGTAATTTTACTGGAATGTTTTTAGTGTTGGTTGCTCTGGATTGATTTTCAGAGGTATATAGTTTTCTCCTTCAATATGTATGTCCTTTAATTTTAATTTTTTTTCTTTTTTTTGGAGAGGTTTTTGCTATAGGGCGCATGTGCTCACCAGAAAGTCAGAGAGAGACATAGAAACAGAAAGCAAGAAATCACCCCCCAGGGGGGATGGCCACGCCGCAATCCCTTCTCCTCCATTCTCCTCTTGGGATCTTGGGCACGCACGCACACACGCCCGGTGTGAATTTAAGTCACCGAGTCCAGGACTCTAACTGTGGTCGAGTACATTGGAGTCCAGCAACATAGCCATTACACTAACTGCTGGTCCCCTTTAATTTTAATTTTAAGAGTGTTTTCTCAATTTATAGATTTTAGGATTTGTTTCATCCCTTTGTTTTGGTTTTCTTCTTCAATATCTATAATTTGTACATAGGATCATCTCTGCTTTTCATTAATTTGCCACTTGCTATTAAATATCTTTGTTCTTCATTTCTTTAATATTTAAAAATGTTTTCTTTAATTTTATCTGCCACTGCTCTTAGAGAATAATTCATTGTGTTTATTCATCTTGTGTTTTCTGTAGCTGGGTGTTCATTTCAGAAGCGTTCTTTTACTTCTAATTCTTTTGTAGTTTTTTCACCCTCATTTGTGATTTTCTGGTTCTCATTTATGCTGTTGTTTCATGTCTTGTATCATTTTTTAAAAGTCTCTTAGTTTGTTTTGAAATGAAAGGTTACTGTTCTGATCTTTTTTTTTGTAAACAGGTGTTTTTTTTTTTACACGCTTTCATGCTCTGTAGTTGTGCTTTTTTTTTAAATAGCTTTCTCTGGAATTTGATTTTAGTATTTTTCTTTTGTTCATTATCACATGTTATTTCTTGAACTTGGAGAAGAAAGTATGCCTCAAGGTTTCTTTCCTAACCCAACAGAGCTTTCTAAATTTGGGGGTGTCTTTATACAGTGTTTAAAAATACAGTCATTTGTTGACTGAAGTTTATTGGCTTTTTCTTTCTTTCCCATTTGTTTGAACCCTCTTTTTGCTTTGTGGCCATCATCCTTGTCCTGATCCTTATCTTTGTTTTGATTCTTTTTTTTTTTTTTTTTTAAGAGAGGATTTTGCTACAGGGCACTTGCACTTGCCAGAGAGAGAGAAAGTGAGAAATCACCCCCAGCGGTGATGGCCCTACCACAATCCCTTCTCCTCCATTCTCCTCTCAGGATTTTAGGCACGCACACACGCATCATGCTGTTTGGTGCAGGACTCAATCCACGGTCAGCCATGTGGGAGTCTAGCCCGTAGCCACTAGGCCACATGCCGGCCTTGATCAGTTTTGATTCTAATCTCAGCAATTCCTTCTCAGTGCGAAGGTGCGTCCTAAAAGAACATTCTGGTGGGATGTGTTAAAGTTCACAGGGTTAGAGCTTCACTTGTCCCTTTGGATCTTTTTTTCCTTTTCTTTTCTTTTTTCTTTCTTTCTTTTTTATTTGAGAGAAATTTTTGCTATTGGGCATGTGCACATGTGCACTTACCAGAGAGAGAGAGAGAGAGGGAGGGAGAAATCCCCCTCACCCCCCAGGGGATGGTAATGCTGCAATCTCTTCTCCTCCATTCTCCTTTTGGGATTTTGGGCACGGGAGGGAGGGAGAAATCCCCCTCACCCCCCAGGGGATGGTAATGGTAATGCTGTAATCTCTTCTCCTCCATTCTCCTTTTGGGATTTTGGGCACACATGCTACACACACTGGCTTGAGTATTAAGCCTCAAGATCCAGGACTGGAACCATGGTCAACTATGTGGGAGTCCTGAGACATAACCATTATGCCATATGCTAGTCCCTCACCTGTCCCTGTGGACCTTGTGTTGACCTCTTAACAATATGCTATTGGGATGGAACAAGCCTCCCAATTTCAGCTTCTGTCCTCATGTAGGTCTGCCATGATCTCCTGAGCTTATTTATAGGCCGTGGAGTTCTTCTGCACTGAGGTCCCACACACGATGCCTCATTGCCTCACTTTGCACAGGTGCCGTTAACACACAGATTTCATGTTTGTTGTTGCTTTATTTTTACTTGCTTATATTTTGAGGTTCATGAGAGTATATCTTGTTACCTAGATTTGTTATAAATTTTGTCTGTGGGTTTTTATTTGACTCTCTCTTCTATTTTTATTTGGAAATTTGGAGGTATTAAAAACTAGACTGCTGCTGCCAACATCTTTTCAGAATCCTGATTTTTAAAACATTCTACTTTTCCATTTTTTTAGTCATAGAAGAGAGTTCCTACATGCATAGGTGCGTGTATACATGTAAAAGAGAAACATTTTCAGCAGGACCTGGGCATGCGAGAAAGACCATCTCCTTTTTCCAGCCCTCCAGCTTGTAGGACTTTGGACAGGTACATAACAGGCCCAGCATAGATCAGGTCAGCTGGGCTGGGAATCTGAACCCATGGTTGGCCAGGTGGCTTCCAGTACTACAATATGAACTATACCGCCTAGGCTGGGCCAATCAACATGTATCTATTAAATGTCCTGTGACAGATCTTATTATAGATACGGAGTATATAACTGTGAAAAGAATAGAGCTTCTGCCTTCAAGCAACATGCATTAAAATGGAAGAAGACCAATATTGAACATGTGAGAAAACATGAGACCTCTTTGAAATTGGGATTCAGAGTACTGGGAAAGTCTTAAGGAAATGCCTAGCATTTGAATGGCCCTTGCTTGTAGAGAAACTGAGGAATATTGAGTTGGAATGAGCCGTGTGAACACAGACATAATGTCATTGGAGGGACATAGGGACCGCAATAACCACTTCTGTGTGCTCACTGTTCAAAAGACTTCTAAGCAGCCATGTGCTCGACCCTGTGCTGGGGCAGAGATGTGCTGATAGGTGGGGAAGTTTTAGGTGGGGAAGAAGTTTAGTCTGGTTGGGAGACTTCTGCTCCCTGACCTGAGACCTGAGGTCCTGAATCTGCACTCACCCGCACCATCTAACAAGAACAAGCAACCACGAGATGAAGAGCGGAGAATGAGAGCTGGGATTTTGAGCCATTTCCTTGGCAGGCTCCCTGGTGTTGCTAACCTTGAAAAAAATCACTTCACTTGGGAGTATATTATATAGGAAAGCAGTGTTGGGGAGAGGAATAGAAAAAGATGTTGAGAGTTAGATTGTAGCAGACTTTAAATGTCATGACAAGGAATTTATTTTTAGGTAGTAAGGAGCTGGCAAGTTTTTGATGAGAAGACTGACCCGAGAGGCTAATGTAACGTAATGGAACCCGTACCACCTGGACTTTGGCCAGGCAAGGATCTGGCTGAACTGAAAACTTAGTGCCACACTTTTCCAAAAGTATGGTACATTGGAGAATTTCTTTGACTCCTTTGAGCTTTATTTTCCTAATCTGTAAAAAATGCACTACTCTCTCATTCATTTATTCTTTGTTGTTGTTTTTTTTTTTTAAATTCAATGATATTTAAAAACGACTATTTTCTAGAGCTACGTTACCGTAGCCACTTGGCACCATTGAAATTCAGATAGTCTGGATTGAAGTGTGCTTTAAATAGAAAATACACACCCAATTTGGAAGTCTTAGTGTGAGAAAAATAATGTAAAATTTTCATTAGTAACTTTAACTTAACTACATGCTGAAAGTAAAATAGTTTAGATAGAGTTAAATGTTTTTTAAAATTAGTTGCACAGTATTTTGTAAGAAATATGACTGTTCGAAAATTGAAATGTGATCTCATCTGTGGCTCTTGCTATATTTTATAGGAAGTGCTGTTCTAGAGACTGGACACACACTATTGAATATTTTAGTGGTAGGAGACATATAATGAATAAG